AGCACGTATTTAGTGGTGCGTTTGAGGAGGCGATGCCCTGGTGTGGGTGCGAGGTGATGGAGCCTGGATACTGTGTGCTGGTGGATGCTAGGCTGTGTAGTGTTCAGCGTATATTGCCACGCAGCTGGTGCGGATAAATGCACGATAAGGCGCACCGGCGTGTAAAGGACTGCATTGGATTTGGCAGCTGCAGCGTTGTGCAATGAGTGGGGGATGGGGGGATGCTAAATGGTGGAAGAATAGCGTAAAGTGTGTGGCAAGAAGCGGTGGGGTTTTTAGTATGGGTTGTGATTAGGAAGGAGGTGAAGTGGTATGTTGGGAGTTGATTAGGAGGATTTGAGTGGCCGATATTTGTTGGCGTGGATGCCTTTGCATAGGGCAAGACGGACAGCTAATGTTGGAGGAAGGTCAGGGGTTGTGTATGTGGAGCGCTGTGTCCTGTTGTGGTTGGGCAGGTATTTAGTGGTGCGTTTGAGGAAGCGATGCGCTGCTGTGCGTGGGCGGTGATGGAGCCTGGATACTGTGTGCTGGTGGATGCTAGGCTGTGTAGCATTCAGCGTATATTGCCACGCAGCAAGTGCGCATAAATGCAAGATGAGGCGCATATGCGTGTTAAGCACTGCATTGGATTTGGCTTCTGCAGCGCTGTGCATTGGGGGGGGATGGTGCGGTAGCTAAATGAGGGTAATAAAGTGTAACGTGTGTGACAAGAAGCGGTGGGTCTTTCACCATACGTTGTGATTAGGATGGAGGTGAAGTCGTATGTTGGGAATTGGTTAGGAGAATTTGAGTGTCCGATATTTGTTGGAGTGGATGCCTTTGCATAGGGCAACAGGGGCAGCTGATGTTGGAGGAAGGTGAGGGGTTGTGTAGGTGGAGCTGTGTGTCATTTTGTGGTTGAGCAGGTATTTAGTGGTGCCTTTGAGGAGGCGATGCGCTGGTATGCTTGCGCGGTGATGGCGGCTGGATGCTGTTCGCTGCTTCATGTTAGGCTGTGTAGCGTTCACCGTATTTTGCCACGCAGTTGGTGAGGATAAATACAAGATGAGGCGCATATGCTTGTTAAAGACTGTAATGGATTTGGCAGCTGGAGCGTTGTGCGTTGAGATGGGGGATGGGGGGAAGCTAAATGGGGCTAATATAGTGTAAATTGTGTGACAAACAGCGGCGAGTTTTTGGGCATGGGTTGTGTCAAGAAAAGTGGTGAAGTGGTATGTTGGGAGTTGGTTAGGAGGATTTGAGTGTCCGAAATTGGTTGGAGTGGATGCCTTTGCGTAGGGCAAGACGGGCAGCTAATGTTGGAGGAAGGTCTGGGGTTGTGTATGTGGACCAGGGTGTCATTTTGTGGTTGAGCAGGTATTTAGTGGTGGGTTTGAGGGAGCGGTGCGCCGGTCTGCGTGCGGGCTAATGGAGACGAGATACTGCGTGCTAGTTCTTGCTAGGCTGTGTAGCGTTCAGCGTATATTGCGACACAGCAAGTGCGGATAAATGCAAAATGCGGCGCATATATTTGTTGCACACAGCAGTGGAGTGGGCAGCTGGAGCGCTGTGCATTGAGTGGGGGATGATGGGAAGCTAAATCGGGGCAACGCAGTGCAAATAGTTCGACAAGAAGCGGTGGATTATTGAGTATGGGTGGTGATTAGGAAGTAGCCGAAGTGGTGTGTTGGGAGTTGGTTGGGAGGACTTGGCTGGCCAATATTTGTTGGAGTGGATGCCGTTGCATAGGGCAAGACGGGCAGCTAATGTTGGAGGAAGGTCAGGGGTTGTGCATGTGGAGCAGTGTGTCATTTTGTGTTTGAGCAGGTAATTAGTGGTGGGTTTGAGGAAGCGATGTGCTGGTGTGCGTGCGCGTTAATGGAGGCTGGATACTGTGTGCTGGTTCATGCTAGGCTGTGTAGCGTTCAGCGTATATTGCCGCACAGGGAGTGCGCATAAATGCAAGATGAGGCTTATCTGCGTGTTAAGGACTGCATTGGATTTGGCAGCTGCAGCGTTGTGCATTGAGTGGGGGATGGGCCCTTCGATTTACGCCAATTATAT